CTGAAAATAACAGATGCGGTCAAACCAATACTTCCTCGACTACTCGAGAATTGATGAAAAAGCCCAAAACAAAGGTTTGCATACACAAGCACAAAAATTCCTTAGTAACAATGTGGCTGTTCCTTGACCGTTTTTTGTGTAACTCCGAAATACCTACAAAGTAAACTGCAGGTTCTTGGCTGTCGACAAAATTTGTTAATTCCACATTTGAGTAAAGAAGCAACTATCAAAGAAACTATTTTGTAAACTATTTTTTCATATTCATTTATACCTGTTACATTGGTGACGTTATTCTGCTTCCAAACTGCTTGATTCGGCGTTTTTTTCAGTGCGCATTTGGATGCCCTAACCGATTTGGTTACAATAAGGGAATTACCACTAGGCAAGAAACCCAATAAAAAAACATTAAAACAGCCTTAGTTGATTACTGCATCTTCCTCTGTTTAGACACACGGTAAAACTTTTAATGCTAGTCGAGTAACAGAATAGGCGGAAAAAAGAAAATGAAAGTAAACTATGGTTTGAAATGAAACCAAGAACTTGGAGCTGTACTTCAATTACACTACAGTACCACCGGAAATCCACCTCGGCGGAAATATAAAACGAGTAAGTTAATTTGCTGAAAATGTGTTCGTGAAAAGCGGGCGAGAAGTGCATAGATCCACGCGAAAATGAGAAGACTAAATGAAACGGTATTTCATGTGACATACAAAAAACGAAACAGAAATACAGACAACAAAACTTCTTCCTAGAAAAAATTGTAGTCATACTGCGTAATTTTTTTGAGTCTATTATTGAATTACCTCCCCGTGACGACTGCTACTAAGTGCCCTTCAAAAAAAATTTACGCTAATTGCGCTGTCAGCTAACACCGCACATTAATGACAAACAGGAGACTAAAACCACTCCCAGAAACCAAAGGAATCTTAAAGTATAGCTTATATTGGTAAAAAACTTTGCAAACAACACCTTCGTTTCGCTCAAAATAGACGTCTTAAAACGACAAAACTGAAAATATTTTCCTTTTCATTTTAAACCACTAAAAAATTAACTGTAACGCAATCCAGAAGAATCTTTTTATAACACAAATTTTAAAAATATTTGAAATTACCAACTCTAAATTAGTCTCTTTTTCAACACAGTGGTGCGATCTTTTTTTGGTTTTTAATTGAAAGCCGCTATAAACTATGACAAAGTACATAAAACTGATCCAGCATAAAAAAATAACACAAAAAAA